TTTAAAGAAAAAAAACTCAGTCCCATCTTAGCCTTCTCAGTACTACTATCAAACCACCAACTTTTAATTTATAAATAAAAACCTCTTCACCTCTGCAGCTGTTTAACATTGGAGCTTCTTAAACCCTCAGCATTAATCTCTAGTGCTCCAAAAACAGATTTTCTATAGCCACAGCAACAATAATAATCACTTCCCTAACTTTTCCTGGGACCTATCATAAAATCAAGTGCCAAAATTCTTCCCTGTCTCCTGAGAAAACACCTGGCTGTTGGGTGGTCACCACATTCCCAAGTCTAAGTGACTTACACATCTTTCTGGAAGGCAACCCTGAATGCTGTCACTGTGAAGTCTCACTAACCAATCACAAAAACAATGAACAACAAACAACAGCTGTCCAGTCTGGTAAATGGGGAGGCCATTAACCATCAAGTGATGTCACCTCATTCTGCTCATTCCCCCCATATCCAGGGTTCATTGGTATATTTATCTCCTCTTTGTCACTGACACTTCATATGGAGTGTCAAACTGGAGATTATGAAGAATAGAACCTTTGTAACTACTTAGGTGACTACATATAAGCAGACTAATTTAAAATTGCCCTGTTTTTCTGCTTTACATATAATAACAGCTGGCGAGGCATACTTGCAAAAGGCTTGACCTAAACCTACCATTCCACACTAATGCTAGAGCGTTCACTGGTAAATTTAGCAAATTTAGATGAAGGCAAATTAGTGCTTTAATAAAAGAGAATAGTGCATCCCAGAAGGTACCAACTGTGAAATTCAATTTCCATTTATACAATGATATTTTATACTAAACCAGCTAACATCACATCATAGGTAGTATAATACTAATGAAATTTTAATATTAATACTACAAAACATGGAGAATAAAATCTTGGTTGGGGGGTCAATGTTTTCGAGCATATTAGGGTTGGTGGATAAGCAAAATGAAAAGTTCTGAAATCCTCAACTATTACATGCCTAATTATTTCACTAGCAAACACAACAACCTTTAAGTGACTAGGAAATTAAATTCTTTAATAAACAATTAATTGAGCACATACTATGAAATGAGTACGGTGATAGGGCACTTCCAGATCACCAAATACTCCCCCCCACACTCCGCATTCCTACAGCACTCCCTTCTATAGCACTGGAGCACTTAATATACTGCATGTTAATCATTTATAAATTAAATACATATATACTACATTTTGAAAATATTATGCCGATTAATCAAAAAAACACAAAAAAAGAATCTTAACATAGAAGTTCTAATATTTTATTCCCACTTGCCATGGACAGTCCTACACACACTTTACAACATATACTGTACACTTCGGTGGAGATCATCGACCCAGGCTATAGGAGAGAGGTCTTCATCATCTCTGTTTCTTCAGTGTCTAAGTCATAGACAGCGCTCAGTAAAAATTTGCTGAATGTATGAGCAAACAGACACTGAAAAAGTGAATCCACAACATAACTTTTTGACATCAGCCAGCTGCTTAGTCTAATACAAGTGCCAAATTCTACTTAAAGAAAGGGATTAGAAGAAATTTACCTACTGTATTTTATTACTACAATTTAAAAGCTAAGGACAATTTTAATTCAGCCAATTCTTAATTTAAAAAAAAAAAGCCTTATAATTCTGTTTCCAGAATGATGCAAGGAAGGAAGAGAGGAGCAGGAAGAAAGAATTAAAGAACTGGAGAAGATTTTTTAAGGTTTCTTGAGAGTTCTGAAATGCTCTAAACTGCAATTCCTTTCATTCAACGTTTTTTTATTGTTATGTTCCAAGCACTTAGAATACATTTTTAGAAATACACAGCCACAAACTTAAGATGCAATAAGGAAATGAAGTAAAGAGATGAAGAGCTTAGATGCTAAAATTCTCACTATCCATAAAGTACAGTAATACTGTACTTTAGAAAATACATGCAATTGAACCAGAGTCAAACCTTCAAAGGAAAGCTTATGTTCTATTTAAGATAGATACAAGCCAAAAGTAAAAGCTACCACTAATACATCTCCCTTAAAGAAAAAAAAAGTTAAGGTATATTTTAAGGAAATTATTAATTTTTATTAAACTGATATACAGTGTAGCTAAAATAGTATGCAAAACCAATCTTTCTAATTTCTAAAGCTTCTGAAATGTAAGTGAGAAGTCACTAGCCTGCCCTTTCCGTAGGAGTTATCTGTCACATAACACTCCATTTCCAAGGCCCCGTTTTGCAAGATAAACTGCTTGTAACTCCATATTTATAGGTGGCAATATGTACTTGGTATTTTTTAATACTATCTAATTGTGGTTAGGCATTATTTAGTGCTCAGTACTTTTAAGTAGGTATTTCAGTATTTTTAAGTACTTTTAAGTAGGTATTTCTTAAGTAGGTATTTAAGTAAGTATACTTCAGTACTTTTAAGTAGGTATTTCAAGCAAGTAGGTATTTCAGCAGTTTATCAAGCTTGCTTTTTACTTGTACAATGATTCATATAACACACAATGTGTATTTGTCCAATCCTTTCCTCCTTCCCATTCACCTTATACAATATAAGCAGGCAGCTAAGACTAAGATGGAAGTTTCAGTACCTATTTACATTATTCACATGCCCCAAAAAAGTTCTCAAACTATTTTCTAGCTCTATCAAAAGCTTTATAAATTCCTTCTATAACCTTACTAAAAAAAATTCTATATCAAAATCTGACATTTACTAGCGTAAACAGTATCATATTCAAAAGAACTACCCACTTTATAAGAGAAATAGCTGCTGGTTTACATTTAGAAATGCTATGTTATCAACTTGCTTCTCTTTCTTGCCTTAGTTTTCCTCTGCAGCAAAAGTGATAAATTCATTCAAACAACAGTCAAATAAGGTTTTAACAAATATTTTGCTACCTCTTCAAATATATGCTTTAAAATTCAACAAGCAGACACTTCCTAACAAACTGAACAAATACCTTCGGTCAAATCACTTTAAAATACACCAACTAGGGCTTCCCTGGTGGCGCAGTGCTTGAGAGTCCGCCTGCCGATGCAGGAGACGCGGG